AAAGTAAAGGGTGAAATTACCTTCCAAAACTGTGTCCATTTTCCCGGTATTGAGCCAATACAACTACATACATGCAGGACACCTCAAGGCTTTTTGCACTGCCTGCTACAAAGCAGTGAGAGTTCAGTGGGTGGTGATGGAAAAGAGAGTGAGATGAGCGACAGTGTGGAAAGAACGTGAGTGTGTGCTGTGGGAGTGTGGAGACCGCAACAGTGATGATGGGGTCTACGGAAGGAAAGCAAGAAAGTCTTTGACAGATATATGCAGAGTCATCAATGGGACTGTGCAATGTCAGAGAACATGATGGATAGCAGGAGCATAGAGAGCTGTACCTCACATTGCTAGGTCCCTTCGGCATAGCCAGCTGTTTGCGTTGCACAAACTCCTTCTTTTTCTTCTCACCCCAGTAGGTATTGGCTGGAGGGGCTTTGGGTTTCTACACATACACATACAGACCCATGTTAGCAGTAGCAGTCTAATCTGAGTGGGTCAAGTGGATTTACCCAAAAACGAGGACTTTTCTTGATCACACTAGGAGGAGTAGTAAGGATAATGATAAATTAACTTAAGAAAGGTTTCAGGCTTTTAAAAAGGTTTAATTTATATTACACAGGCACCAACATGATAACTAGATTCATTTCTTTGGGAACAGACCTGGACGGAGGACTAGTTAAAAAAAAAAATCAATGCAATGATTCCTCAGCACAGTGACATTTGTGGAGCAGCCCCTCTTGCTGAGGGGGGTCGTAGCTAACTCTGGGTGAGCTCTGGGGTTCTAATGCAGGTGGCTCTGATCATTGAGTGTAAACAACATTCACTTTGTGATTGGAGGACTTTCCTGTATGGTTTACAACCTTAATGTGAACCTGGCATGAGACATTTCAAATCCACAATCAGTAAATTGATTTATTTTAGGCAGCACAGAGGTTTCCACACATAGAAAGAGGCAGGGTGTTCTGATTATCATTCCTACTGAGCCTTTAATGGCTTCAGAGAACAAATATTTGGCTTCAATAGTCAATAAAGTAACATTATTTTAGCCATGAGTTGAAGACACCTGTAAAACCTTAAGTACTGTAGCTCGAGCCAAGCATCATTCAGAAACATTAAAAAACATACTAAAAATATTAAAACACAAGGTGTATAGAACCATCTCAAATTAAAATGTGGTTGATATTATGTTTATGATGATTAGATCTTGGGGTTAATGGGGCGTTTCATGGCAAGACCGGCAGGAAGCTTTTTTGTAAGGGAAATTACCTTTTGGCCCTCGAGGAAAAGAAGATGCAAGCAAGACAGATGAAAGTGTTTCTGCTCATCACCTTCTGCTCTGATTATAAAGGAAAAGAGCAGAGAGCTACTCATGGCGGTCATTGTAGTGCCCTGTCCCTCTGGCACTCACCTTGCTGTACTCCGTCACAGTGGCAGTGTACCTCTTGAGCTCCACACCGCCACCTCCCTGTCCCCGGCTCTCACAGCCCCGAG